TTTTTATTTTAAATAAAAATAAAAATAAAAAACAAATGGGACAGGAAATGGGGAAAGTCCTCGCCCCGTACCCGCCCCATCTAAGGCGGAGGCGGGGTGGGATGGGGTGAGGGTGCCCTCTCCGAACCCTCCCCATTGCCATCACTAGATGTAGGATATATATTCCTTAACATTTTCGAAACTGGTATCGAAATCGTGACCCTCCAGTTCACGATCACCGAAATCCTATACTGCTAGATGCTGAGTTAACTCCTCAACTTGTATATGTAAATCCTCAATCATCATATCCTAAATGTTACGATCACGATATGGGACTTCCTCATTGGGAACCTGCCACGACGACCATGACCATGACTACCAACCATGGTAGGACTGATGAAATCTCATCCCAAGAAGATGCTGATGCTCTGATACCAACCGATGCCAGATAGAATAACGATTGTTCTGTAAGATGGTTTCAACGGATAATTAACAGGGAAGAATACAAGAGAAAACATCAAGAAAATAAGAGATTCTTTATTATTCATCCAACATGCGAAAACAGCCCACAAGTCGGGCTATATAGCTAGAAAATAGCAAAATTCCAATAATCATACCAAAAGAAACGTAATAAAAGAAATAATATCCCAAAAATCTGGCTCAAAACGAGTTCGTAATCTATTTTAAAAAGGCAAACGAAATATTACCAAAAAAGGAAAAAAAATAACTAAAATTAGGGATTTGGAAGGGAAAACAGCGGATTTTGCTCTCGAAATCGATGTGCATGACATGCTTGTCGAAAATAGTTTTTCGAATTGGGGTCATGAACGCGATTCTAATAACCGTATCCAAAGTTATTACCAAAATACCAAAATGTATCCAAAACTGCCCCAATTAGGAATGATCGTCGATTACTTGCCATTTTTGCTCTTATCCGCCAACTCATGGTACCTCAGTGCCATCAATGAGTTATCGAAAAACTCGACATCATTTGACTCGGTTCCTCCTGCATCACTGAGTGTATCCGTCTTCCTTTTTTTAAAGTGTCGTTTGTGATACGTTCAAAATTGAGAATTAACATTAAAATATCTCATGAAGTGGAAGCTGATGTGAGCATTAATTTGTAGGTTTCTTCCTCAACCACTTGAATTCTTCCTTTGTGACAGATTTCATGCTCAATTACATGGACGTGGTTGTATGATAACAATAGGTGCACGTATACCATTCAATGGTCTCTATAAAATCATTAGTTTTGCAACGGCTCTATAGGCATTGTACGTGGCATCTATTATCGACGTGAGGTTGCTTGTATACCATAAGATTTCTAGATTTTTATAATAAGAATGTGGACTATCTTGTTTTCCCTTTAAACCAGGTGATGTCCTTTCTAATTTTCTTATTCTATAGCGTGTAACTAAACTATTCGTTGGGATGAACGATGTAATCTAACTTAAACCTTTAATTTCAATTCTCAAAATTTGCGTAATAATTATTTTATATATTGATTTTACTTTTTTTTCTTCATGCTTGAATTACTTGATCATTAATTCATGATTTCTGATTGTAACAAATTGAGATGTGAATTATAAATGTAGACCACAAGATAAAATTCGACAATTAGGTAAAATGTAGAGATACACAATTATTGTGATCTTGAATTGAGTTAGTAGGAAATTAAATGGTTTAGTTGATGCTTATTTAAATTAACATAGAGATATAATGAGTTGACAAAACAAGATATAATCGATTTGAACTCGAGAGATTGTAAATTGATTTAATTAGTAATTTGACCAAGTAAACTTTAGGAATTGAATTTGGGAGGCAAGATTAAAGGTGATAACTACAATGAAATTGGTAGTCGCAACACTTAACAATCATATTTGATCTTTTAATTACTTTCATCTTTTTAGTTAATTTTAGTTCCCATAAAAACTTGGCTTGGTATTTTGTTTTCTTTAAATAAGAGGTAGGCTTATTTAAATTGATATTTGGATATAGCAGTGTTCGTGGGACAATAATCTAAACTGTTTAAATTCATTTTACTATTTGTTTAATTGATATTGTCCACTTATGACTATTACACAACTATT